GGGGGTGGGGGGATGAATCCTGTCTGGATCTTTTAGACACAACTCTTTCATAAGTTGTACTACATTTTGGTGAATATTTATTACTATATTTACACTTTGATGATTTTGTTATATCAGTTTGCCTACATTTGTGTGAAATGCACCCACTGCATTTGTTAATACATTTTTCCTACAATAAAGTGTTGTATCTTTGTGTATAATATATAAGATTCACATTTTTAAAAGTCACAAATTTGTCACACTTCAGCTCTGATTTTAATGTCTGTACCTGGGTTTTGATGCGTGAAACTGAGCATCATGTTGTTAGGTGACAAACGGCTGATGCATGTGATACCACAGCAACACAAAGTGCTATGATAAAAAAATCTCAACAAAGTTTGCGAAGAAAGGAAACCTGTCCAAAACACCTTTACTATCAGCTAACCCTAAGGAAAAAGTGGTCACTGCTTTTGTGGCCCTTTATCTTTTCCTGTATTTTATACTGGAAAACCTGGAAAACCAGTGCTCAGTTAAAACAATTTTCCACAGCTGACTTTGAATAGCCGCAGGAGATTTTGACTTCTGTGATGTTTTGGGTTTTATTTCAGATTTCACTTAGGTAAATGTAGAACCTCACCCACAGAGAATCCTGTGAGATCAGCTCAATATTACAAAGGTGGAATTTTTTCCCCCTTTTCTTTTGGATACTTTAGAATGCAGGATATGATCTTAGCACTCACTGTGGCATTTTTCATCTATGTATGAAGTAGGTTCCTTATATTTTCTGAAATGTCTGTATTTTCTATTGCTATTTTAATTTCTGAAATATTTTTCTGTGCTAGACTTGAAATCTATAATGTGTTAATTCCATAGCTCAAAGCCAAACAAAATCATTTTTAAAAAAGCTTCACTGTTGCCCATTTAACTTCCTGTAGTTGAAGGGTAGTTCCACTAACGTTATTTTCCCCAGTCTCCTTCCCATTCCCTGAAAATTACGCTTGGACAAAACATGACCACTGAACCTGGTTTTAGACTGGAGTTTGTTTCAAAATCTGTCAGGCTGACAATTGCTTGCTTTTAAACCCAAAGTTATTTTCCCTGAATTAGGGAAAGAGCTCTGGGAGCATTGGGAAGTCAGACTAAAATGTGAATAGTTTGTCAGAGAACAAATGGCTAAGAAAATAGAAAGCAATAATCATGCTATGACTTAAATCCATAGTTCAACCACATCTTCAATGCTGAGTGAAGACTATTTCCCCTGCATCTTTCCCTCATCTCAGAAAAGATCTAGTAGAACTTTAAAGGTCTGCAGAAGAGGGATAAGGCTGCTTACATTATGCAATAACTTTTGCTTAAAAGACATTTCAACAGTTTGGAAGAGAGTTGAGGGGAGTGGGTGTGATAGAGGAATATAAACTCTGTAAAGGTGTGGATGAAGTGAATGATTATTCAGTTTCTTACAATAAAGAAGTAGGTGATAACAAGTGAACATCATCCTCAAGTTATAAATGGAAGGAAAGAAATTGCCCTTTTCCTCAGCACCCTTAGTCCTGGAAATCAGACTGAATTTCCTGCTGCAAATTGTAACCTTTTTATGAAGGTTGTTTGTAAAACAAATACATACCCATAAAAGTGTACTTATTAACCAATTTCTAGTAATTGCCTACTAGAAGCCCTTTTTCAGAGATTCAGCAGTCATCTAAGTCATGTATGAGTATTGAACACTTTATAAGGTGATTGTGGAGAATGTTCTTATTGTTCAGAGCAGCAGTTTAAAGAAAGAAGCATTTCATTTCAGAAGGCTAAATTATGTAGCTGATCTGACACGACTGATTCATGTACCTATCCAGTACTGGCTGTAAAATAGTTCTTTACAGGAGACCAGCCATACTGTGTTAGACAAAACATCTATTTAACCTAGTATTTTACTTCTCAGGTAACCAGCAGCACGTACTTAGGAAAATGGTATATGAACAGGGAAAGCATACAAGTGCTATTTCCCCAGTGCATAGAGACACACTCAGTTCAGGGACTTCCGAAGCCACAGAAAATAGTTTTGTGTTTAATGGTCCCGAAGGATAAATGGAGCAAATGCAGTTGACGCACTCACATATTATGGCAGCTTCTGAATAACTACAGAAATGTTGCTTTTCTGCCTTTTGAACCAACTGTGTGAATTTCCCCTAAAAAATGCTTTTTGTATGTAAAATTCACTTTTTCAGTTTGCCCATATTAGCATGTTAAAGTCTCAAGGTTTTATCTTACTTACATGCCTTTGTAGGCATTAGAGTATAGGCAGATAATACTTATACTGTGCAATTAGAAAAACTGGTTAAATATTTAAGGTGCCACTGAATTGGAAAACAATGTATATTAGCCTATCTGCTGCATTTTAAACTGTGATCCATGGATTGTGTCATCTGTGGATCATGCATAACATAATGACAACAGTAACTAAAAAAGTAAACCTCTTCTCACTGGGCTTAAATTTGCCACATATGGACATGTAGCTCCATTGGAAAATTTCTAGGCATCTGCAAACTGAGATGGATAAATATATTAAGAAGAAAAGATCAGTAAGGAAGGTGGAAAAAAGCTTCTCATCATGTCCAAAGAGACGTCCATCTTTTTTTTTTGCTTTGGCAGGCCACCCAAACTTCGAGAAAAACAGTGATCTACTAACTTTGTGAGCAAAGCAAAAAGGCCAGCTTGTGCAGTGTTGTCCCAAAGATTTTCAGTTAGAAGCAACCAAAACCAAAACGTAGTTTTGAAATTTCATGTCAGTCTTATTTTCATTTGTCTGCATTTGTTCATTTGCACTCCCAAACACTTGTGGCTACAGTTTTGTTTTTCTTGTTTACAGTGATTTGTTAGACTGCCTTTTCATGTTTGGCATAAGGGTGAGAAAACCAAGTGGTCAGGGAGCTATTGCCAAAGAGGGAGCTATTGCCAAAGAGGCGGCCCAGCTACCAACCTCACCTTCCTGGTCTTTCCTAGAAAAGACCAAAAAGCCATGGGAAACAAAAAGATGCGTGATTTATCGGCTAATCTCAGGTCATGTAAGAAGCAGGCAAGGGTCTGCTGCAGGTCGCTGCGGGGTGGTGCACAGCCATAGTGTCTGCGTCCCAGGGCCTGAACTGTCTTTGGAACAAATGCCCATAAAAGCAGTGACGGCACCCTCTAACAGCCGTTCCTCTCCAGGATGTCTGTGAAGTGATTATAGAGACCGTAAATTTAATAAATGATTTTTAAAATCGACCTCTGAAGTACCACAGCCCTCAAAAGGAAGGAGCTGTTTCCCCCATACAATCAGCTGAAAACCTCCTCTGCCCTGCCTGGAGCTACCGTTACCGGTCCCAGTCGAAAGGCGGACTGAGCGAGGCGGCAGCCTTTCCTGAGGCGGTGGGCTCGGCCCCTCAGGTTTGCACCTACAGCTGAGAAAAGCCCTCCCCTTCCTTCCTGCGGTGCATCAAGCCGTTGATGCTCCGGAAAACCAGGAGGCGGGGGAAGGGGGCTGAGCCCCTCGTCGCGTCTCGCTGTCACGCACCAACTCCCCCCAGCCCACACGTCCTCCCTTACGCAACGTTATCTGCCACCCGCCGACTTTCGCCGGCAGCCGCAGGTGCCGGTCGGCTCCGGGCAGCGCA